ATATTCGCCTGATTGAGAGCGTAGCATCTGATTGAGAGCGAGATTGCGCGATACGCTGTAGCCGGACTACCACTGAGAGGTGGAGCTTGCTGTGTAGCTTGAATTGAAGGGCTAGCCCGTAGCTTCAAGCCGCTACCCTGGTCATCCTGTGGGAGTCTCTCGTTGTGGAGCTACAGCGGGGAGCAGAAGCTACAGCAGAGCCCACCGCCCGACGCGATACCGCCCTGAAACAGTTTGAGCAGAAATAGCCAATCTGGGCAAATCTAGCAACTTGTCTAGCTCCTCGCTGCAGCATCCGATGACGATGACACGCATATGCTCGCGAAGCTGCTGATGAGACCTTCAATTTGCACCGCTTCTTGGAATAGCCCGTCCCCTACTTGCCAAGAAATGGCAAGAGGCGTCTGGACCCGAAATTTCAATTTTTTTGGCTCTCGCTCTCAATCAGATACTTCGCTCTCAATCAGGCGAATATGTTGTTAAACGCTGTCTTCTCTTGTTCTGCTTCGTCCACTTCAATTTGGTGGTAGGCTGACTGAAGATCGCAGACAGTGAAAACATTGCGCCTTTAACGGTATCAATATGGGATTCGATACCTGGCATCGGCCAGGATTTTCGAAGTAGACTCTAATGAATTGTAGAACGATAAACAACATATTGGTGAAATTGAGAGCGAAGCATGAAATTGAGAGCGAGAGCCCAAAAAAATAAATTCGGGTCCAGACGCCTCTTGCCATTTCTTGAGAAGTAGGGGGCGGGCTCTTCCAAGAAGCGGCGCAAATTGAAGGTCTCATCAGCAGCGTCACGAGGATATGCGTGTCATCGTCATCGGATACTGCAGCTAGGAGCTAGACAAGTTGCTAGATTTCCCCAGATTGGCTATTCCTGCCTCAAACTGTTGCAGGGCGGCTTGGCCTCGGGCGGTGGGCTCTGCTGTAGCTTCTGCTCGCCGCTGTAACTCCACATCGAGAGACTCCCACAGGATGACATGTAACTGCTTGTAGCTACGAGCTGGCCCTTCAAGTCAAGCTACACAGCAAGCTGCACCTCTCAGCAGTAGTCTAGCCTCAGCGCATCGCGCAATCTCGCTCTCAATCAGATGCTTCGCTCTCAATTTCACCAATATGCTGTTGGTAGTCAACGCAGAATCGAGGAGTGCAATCAGCTTGCGCTACAATGGTAACAGCAGATCCCCAAGGGCTGGGTCTCTGTTCAATAATCACATCTTTTTCCAGTTGATACACACACTTGTCGATAACTCCTTGTGCTCTAGGGTTCGTACGATAGGGAGCACGGTCGACTGGTTTAGTGCCTGGTTCTAGGGGAAAATCTGCCTTGGCTATCTTGCGTTTTCCGAGCTCCTTCGGAGACAATGAAAACAAATCACGATATTTCGAGCATAAATCAAGGTTGAGGAGTAAAAATGTAGTGTTCGTGAACGATTTTTTCATGGCTCTTTTCAACTCTTCTCGCTTGTGTCTGAACGTGGTTTGGTCGCTAGCAACAGCGCTAACTGTTTTATCGGCAACCGATTTTTCTGGCGAAATGTACCCTAGAATAGTATCGCGTTCAATGTAGACCTGTCGTTTGGACGGATTTGCAACTTGTACTGCAGCGGGCTTGTGCTGTGCCGACCAAGTGCACACTGTTCTAGCGACCACGATTCTACGGAACGCTGGGGGTATATTATTTCAGACTTTTCGACGTCTTCCTTAGTTTTTTTCTTTTCTTTTTTTTCTCCCATCGTTGGACTCTGTCGTCTGCCGCTCTGGCCCCTATCCTTCACTTGTACTAGCTGGACGACCTAACCGTGACAATACGTGGTTCGATCAACATAGTAGTAGTTGCCTGTGGTGCGTGTTCTGTCACCACGTCTACTGCCAGTTCACTTTCGGGGGGAAAGCAGTATCTCCTAGGCAGGTACACGGGCACTGCTCTTATAGACGGGTCAATCAAGCGTTACTATTGAAATTTGCGCTGGGGCGTTGTTGTCCGGGTCCGCTTGGCTAGTTGTTTGTCTGTGAGTTGTCGGAATTTTTCGTGTAGATTTTTGAAACCAAAGTTGCTCACCCCACCAGTCAAGGACGGCACCAAAGGCATTAATGATGCTATCGAGCAACATCTTATCCGGACCTAGGTTGGGTGACACAAGTGCCTCGACTGGTAGCGTAATGTCGCCCAGTGTGAGGTTGAAAAGGATAGTCTATATCCTAGGATTTTTAACACTGATCCATCTGCACTGTTCAACTGAATTGCTCTCGGGGGCACAGGTTTCAGCGGTACACGTTGCAGACTCGGATGAGATTTAATGAAAGACGCCGATATACAGGGTACATTAGCTGCTGCGTCGATAGTAAGATCAGACACAGGGTGGTTCTTCACTCGGGCATAAATGCGCGCCCTCTTGAAGGACAAGTTTAATGCACTCGGTCGGGTGTTGTGGATATTTACTACGTGGAACGCCGCATTATTGGGTCCACCACTAGATGCACAACAAATAGAGGCACATACTCTCGTAATTTGACTAGATGGCATGCTAGTCAGTAAAACATCAGCTTGCGGGGCTAGCCTTGGAACCAACGCACGCTTGCGTTTGTTCTTCCTATGTTTCCCTCCTTTGCTACTTGGCTGACGATGTAAAAATGCCTGGGCAGAATCTGCAACCGAAGTCTCAAAACTACTGCTAAATTCTTGTTCAGACGTCAACCCCCCTCCTTTATCCCGAGGAAAAAATGGTTCCCTCGATGTTCTACTGTCATGGGCACACGGGGCTGATTCTGCTCGAGCATCCTGTGCTATGTGAGTTTGTTCAGCTAATATTGTGCTATTGACCTGCCGCCCTGCGGGTGAGGGATCCCGTGAAGGGCCCCCTCATCCCTTTATAAGATAGCTCCGAACAATGTTCTGTTGTTCATCGCGCTTGTCGAGAGCGCACTTGTCGATCGAGTGGCGAAGCCTGCAGCCCGGATAGGGGCATCGTTCCCCCTTCTGCTGTGAAGCAGAGGTGGAACCGCCTTGTACGGTGATGCGCGGCTTCTTCGATGCACCCTGTTGGGTCGCGCGATTCCCCGTTGGTCTCCAGCTTCGGTAGTTTGGCGTGGAGTTCTTTGATCACGTCGGTGTTCTATGAGACAGTGCTCTTTAGCTGAGGAACCTGTTCTTCTGCAGAGGCCGGAGTTGTGGTGGCGGGCTGCGTGGTAGGGCGGAAGAGTGACACCAAGCCACTCGGGTGGTGTGGAGCCCTCTTTCCAGTGTTGGGCGAGTAGCTCGGAGAACTGGCCTCCTGCACAGGACATGACATTAGCGCCTGGCGGTCCTCCGGTGAGATTCCCTGTGTCCGAAAACCTTCAAGCAGCTGGTGAATGATGTGCATGTCATAATCGCTGCTCAACTCCTGGTTATCAGCTCCATCGCCGCCGCTATTATCCTCGTCGCCGCTGTCATCCCCGTCGCCTTCGTCAGGGGTGCCATCAGGTGTGTCACCCTTTCCTCGCTCTCGGCGCGCTCGTTCATCTCGGGGATCGGCTCTCGCTGGGAGTTATTTCCCCGAGATGGACGTGGTGCTTACATACGCTGAGGAGGGGTGCCCCGCCCCGACTGGGTAACGGACGATTGCGACGAGGCGGCTTTCGCGGCAGCGAGCTCTTGCCGCAGCTCCGCAAGCTCCTCCTGGTGACGCGCCAGTTCAGCGGTTGTCTTCTCTGCCCGCTGCTCTGCGTCTTCAGCGCGCTCACGCAATTTTTTCTTCTTCTGCGAGCTCTTGGTGTTGGGCATCGCGATTTCCTCGTCTTGTCCTTTCCGTCTCTCTGCAAATCACGGCGGAGTCGTGTTCTCGTCGACGCCAATGACGTGACTGGTCCCTGTCGGAGACAGAGGCCGGTACTCTTGCAGTATTCTCCCACTGCCAATGGATGGTATTTCCTATCGTGAGATGTATCGGAGAGGAAGGTAGAAAAAAGAGTCACCAGGGGGTCGAGAGAGGAGATCCGGAGGCTCCCCATCTCTTCCCTCGGCGATCGGCCATGGACTTCCGAACAGACGACCTCCTCGGTGCTTTAAATACCCCGAGGAATCATATCTTCCTACACTTTGTGCACAAATGGTTGGTCACAAATTCCGACAGGTGTCCTACACATCGCATCCCACTCTCCCAACCCAAAATTTTCGCAGCGAGGGGCTACTGCTGCTGAACATGTGTACTTGACGTTATATTTTAGACTGCCCCCAGAGTGCACAACACGGCAGGCGGTCACGTGGGCCGGCGGGATGGGGCCGGGGCAACTCACCGCAAATCGGGCGCACCATGTTGTGGGTTCGCACATACTGCTGTGGTTATTAGCGTCATATCATAGATGTAGACGGGAAAATAAATGCTGTTTGATAGAGTCAGTCGTCTCCACTATATTCGTCTTACGTGTTGATTGATTTCAAGCCCAGTGCTGCTGGATAAGCACGGCTGACCCGGTTGATAGGAATGAAGAGATGGTAAACTCGTTTACTCGGAGTATAAGGTTGCCCTCGTAGACAAGCAACAAGAGAGAGTGGGCGCCACTTGCGCCACAAAGCATCAAGCAACAGTCGCGAAGAGTTCACCGACGTTAAGACGCATAGACTTTCCGCAACTCGGAACAATTTCAACTACCACAGACATGTGGGGAGATACCCCGAGGATCCACCCCTCCCTGTGGAACTGTCACTTGCACACTTTCTCGTTCTCAAACCACACATGAGTACTACTACTGTACCGCAGTAGCGTTCGTAAGGATGACACAATCCACCTCATGGACCCTCCCTGATTCTGTACATCGTCACGAATGCTGGCAAAAACCGAAGTATTCAGGGTAGTCTACTCATAGAAAAACAAAAATAACCGAAGGGAAACCCGGCCACCGGATCAAAACCCTCCGCCTCCAAGGTCATCCTGCTGAATGACTTGTCGACACAAAATCAACACAGCAGTCACCAAATTGCAAACCTCCGCGTTTGCAGTTAGTAAGACATTTGCTACTCCTCCTCAAGTAGCCCCCTACCAGCAACGAGATCCCTCCTGTATCAAGTTGCTGTTAGCACCGGGGCGCGCCTACAGCCCCAAGCACAATGCCAAGTAGCAGCGGAAAAACGGAAGATCTGACGCTACATCGCTCATCACAGCGGAAAACGAAAAAATGTCGGACGCTACATCGCTCCCAACTGACGTCGAAAAAAGGGCAATCTACCAAATCGCAGGGAGAGGTGCCCCCCCAAACACCTGTACATCAGAGGTAGACCAAGCAGCATTCAACCGCAAACAGTTGTTCAGCAATCTTGTAGGTACATCGCTCCGGGAGACACTGGTTACAGACACCTTCACCGCTCTTCAAGCAGTCCCCTCCCAGCGACAGGATCCCTACTATATCAAGTTGCCATCAGCACCGGTGCTCCTTTATAACCCCGAGCACAGAAAAGCGAAACCGACACTACATTGTTCTCAGTGGAAGGACATACACAGTTGAGGACCGCACTTAAGAATATGGCACTCGCTAAGAATATGGTGCATAAAACGGCACGGCTATTATTTGGGACAACGTTGTCCCAAATTTTCATTTGGGACAACACGTCTAACTCGGCGTAGAAAGCTCGGATCGACCTCAAACCAAGTTTGTTGTAATCCTACTGGACACAGCTTTCACGGAATGTATTTTGAGTCCACAACGGAGCCGGGGCCGAGGAGATAAGAGCCTAAAAAAGGGGCTCCGTGGCTTCGGTAAATCCACGTTGTCCTCCATAACAAGGAGCNATGGTGCATAAAACGGCACGGCTATTATTTGGGACAACGTTGTCCCAAATACAAATTTGGGACAACCTTGTCCTAAATAGCCGTGCCGTAAAAAATAAATAAATAAGAATTTGCCGGTGAGAACTCGTGCTCAGACTGCACCTGCAGTTAACAATAAGAACGCACGCCTGAGGGGTACCACTGCTGCCAAAGATAAGAACAAGAGCACATTCAGCAGCTGCGAGATAAGAACATTCGAACGGGGAGGGGGGGACGGGAGGGGGGGTGATCCAAGTATTGGATTTGGCAGGGGGGTAGGTGGGCCGAAGGTGGGTGCAAACATGTCTACACCTCGGAATCTGCAATTTTTGCGGAGGAGAGGGTGGGTACTGTACACGTCGCGCCCCCTTGGCGGCAGCCAGGCTACGCACGTGCAGCGGGCCACGAGTTGCCTACCGTACAAGGGGATCATGTCCCTGTCCAATCCCTTATCCCATGGGTTGTTAAAAGATCTTGGCAAACTTGCAGAGTTGAAATGACGGGGTCTGATTCTTGACGCATACTTCGAGACAATAAAAACACAAGTGAAGGCGGGAAACTCCTTTGCGAAGGAGCGGTGGGACGCCATCGAGAGCGCGTGGGGGTTGAAGCAGAACGGTATCTTCGACGAAGGAGAGTAGATCGCGCAGATTGATGGTGAAATCCAGGGCATTACCAGCAGCACCCGCCTGTCCTTGTCATCCCAACAAGATGCCAGCAGCGCACGAGGTGCTGCTGCACCTTCTCAGCACCCACCTGCTGCTGCAGCGGGTACCGCGAGGAGGAAGGTGGATCGAGGGAAGCACGCCAGGGAGAGAGCTGCGAAAGGCACTTAAGGCGGCGACATCTGGAACGCGTTCTCGATTGGCAGCGGACAACCGGTGAGTTTGGTTACGTATGTATCCGACGCACGCTGTCGCTTTGTTGTGCTACACAGGTGTTTGTTTTGCTTTTTTATTCCCGATAGTCTAAGCAAGAGAAAAAATGAAAACAAAATAGGTAAGTTTATTAGTCTAATGTGACCCAAACGCAACAGACGTCATCTCCCCACTCTCTCGTGTGATTCACGATAACCTTTTCAAGGCAATATTCGTTCAGAGTGCATAGATACTTTGGCCAGCGGCTTCCACGGAAGTTTGAATTCAACAGCGCCACAACTAAGAGCGGCCGACACGTCACATGGCTCGTTGAATCCCCTACACGGCAATTTCGCCCTTTCCCATCGCACCGAGCAGATTGAGCGGACTCGTGGTGGAGTGAAAGAGTTCGTATCCGGTATCAGCTTCCCGCCTCCTGCCCCGGAGTCCCGCCGATCCTGCCCTTACTGTCCCATGACCTTCGAACGAGCAAGGCCTTGGAATCCACGTGAGAACGCAACACAGCAGTGCAAACATGCCAACGGCGTGCGGCTGCGGCGGATGCTACGGAAGAATCTCGAAGGGCGTGTCCTGCCGTGGGAAGAAGCTGGGCCTGGGCGTTGTTCGCACGTGAAGGTCGATGATGCGACAGGGGCGGCTTCGTTTGTCCTCCAGCGGAAGCGCTTTCTCGATCTAGATTTGGAAAGCGACGGCATTATGGACCGCGAAACTAAGGACACTCGTGGAGCTCCCAAGCGCAGGCGATACGACTATAGGTTCAAAGCCAATGCTGTCAACCAGCTGCGCATCCTCGAGGACAACGCCGCGGACCTCTAGGAGGAGGAGGAGCGCACGCCTCTTCAGTACTCAGAGGACCGTCTCAAGGTTCACTACAGCAACATCGTGAGGCGGGCCAAGGACGAGAAGGCCATAGTCGCGGCGGCAGCAGACGATGTGAAGAAGAGCCTCCTCGCCAAGCAGTAGCCTAAGCGGTGGTTTCCTGAGGTAGAAAAGAGGCTTTGGAAGATGTTCGTTGAAGGTATCGACCCCGTGGCTGACGATCACGTTCCGGAAGCTCGTGCGAGAGATGTATCCCGGGGACCAACGGGCGGCGGCGTTCCGCGCATCCTTCAGGTGGGCACGAGAATGGGCCAAGAGGCACAACCTGTCCAAAAGACGTCGGACCAACCTCAAGAACAAGTTTGTTGAGGACCGCCTACCAAACGTATCGGCGATTACGACGGTCGCAGAGAGGGAGTCCAACGTTCCCAAGTATGGCCAATTCCAGCTCTGGGAGCGTTGGAATGTGGATCAAGTGCCTTTGGCTTTCGTAAACGGGCTGCTCGTTACGTGGGAGGAGCGAGGTGCGAAGCGTGTCGCCATCTCACAGCCCTTTTCTGGCCTAGAGAAAAGGCCGTGCACCATGCAAGTCATCTTTGGTCCGGGTGAGACGACCTTGCGAATTTCGGTGATCTTCCGAGGCACGGGGAAGCGGATCTCGCCGGTGGAGAAGGCCGCGTACCACAAGGATGTGGACGTATTTTTCCAGGAGAATGCTTGGGGCGACCAAAAGTTCTGCATGGAGTGGGCCAAGAGGTCCTATCGCCAAGGCCTGATGCGCGGGCGGGGTGAGCTTCCCAAGGCGAGGTCCATTCTTATCATGGACAACTTGCACGCGCAGACGACGGACGAGTTCAAGGAGTATCTTGCGAAGTAGTGCAACACTCTCGCCTGGTATGACCCTTCGGAGTGCACGGACGAGGTGCAGCCAGTTGATGCAGGAGGCGGACGATTTATCAAGGTGGAAGCTGGGAGGCAGATGGACATGTGGCTCGAGCAGTCGGACAACCTCGAGAGGTGGGAAACCGCGGCGTTGACAGCTTCTGATCGGCAGGTACTGATCACTCGTTGGATTGGAGCGGCCTTGGCAAGACTCAACAGCCAACAGGCGTTCCGATTCCGCGTTTTCGAAAAGTGCGGGATGGCCATGACTGTGGACGGCTCAGGCGATGATCGGATCACCTTGGAGGGTAGCGAGGACGACAAAGGTTTGGAGAACGGCAGCGATGAGCCTGAGGGGCGGGGGACACTGGTCGGTGCTGCTACAATGGGAGACACTGGTTGCCATTCATCACACAAAAGGAGGCGCAGCTTTCTACGTCAACCCTCCCTGACTTCAGAGCAAATATCTCAGCCTCAAACTGTATGGGCCGGAAAATAATCCCGACATCATCAATCAAATCAGTGTGACCGCTGCGCCCCGGGGCATCAATACCAAAATGAGACAACAACAGAATGCGACACCACCATCAATATTCATCATGCAAGGACGCCGCATGCATCTACCTGTACGACGAGCTACTGAGATGAGCATGGGGGACCATACAAACGTCGAGCTTCGTAGGCTGCCTGTGTAACAGCTACAACCACAAGGGGGCAGCAAGTACGTAAAAATAAAACAAGACACACACACAACCGGAGAAAAATACGGCGTCCGACAATTCCTAACAACAGTTGCATCGTCGGGAATTCGGAGGCAGCTTCCCAGAAAAAAAACCCGACCGCACACACGCAGGGGAAATGCAGTTTTGAGCGACATAATACAACACGCCGAAATATTCAAAGCGCTTCGTACGCGACGTCCAACTCTTCTACTTCCATCGCGGCCACAGCAACCTCACTCGCCACTTTCGATGCGCATTTTTTCACATGGCGCCCTCTTCCTCAGCACCTCTGGCAGACGTGCTGTTGAGGGCACTCGTGGGCATAGTGGTTTGCGGTGTAGATGTGGCAGCTGGCGCACTTTTTCTCGGCGGCACCACTCGCTACTCATACCTTTTCGTCCCCTCCGCTTTTCTTCCTCGACCGTCGTTTCCTCCTAGACCCCTCCCCGACTGCTACGAACGCATGTTGCACTCGCCCGTCAACCTTCCCTCTTGACCCATTGTCCTTCTTCAAGTACCCAGCCCTGGTCCTTAGCACTCTCAACTTCTCCTCCTCTTCCAGAATCTTCACGTCGTACTCGGAGGAAAGAGCGTCGAATCGGGCGTACACGAGCATGTTGGGGATGGGCTGGCCGAGTTCTAACTCCAGGCTAGTTACGGTAGACTTGAACTGTTGGAAGAAAACTCGAGGATCCTGGTTTCTCTCTTGTCGGGCAGCATAGAACTTTCCGATAAGCGAAATCTGCTCGCCACCAGTTAGCGGGGTGAATGTCTGCTCAAGTGCACGCCGCGCTGCGGAGGGCCCCTTACTGCTGTAAACCATCAGCTTGGTAGTCTCGTCTGAAATCGCTCCTACCAACATTCCCCACAAATCCCGGTACACATGAACCTCTTCTGCAGCTACCCCCTGTTCTATGGTGCCATCGTCATCCATCCTTTAGATCGTTAGATCAATGTCTTGGCTATCTTTCAGAGCATGCATCATTCCGCACGTTTGCACCTGCGTCGTGAAGTCGTCCTTGAACATTACCCAGTTCTTTTCTTGGCCATCGAAGTTCAGCTGCTTGAGGCGTGGCATCCGGGCCTTCATGGTCGGGTCGTACCGTCCCGGCGGGTCACTGGTTTCGCTTTCGCGCGACACGTCCCCCGCAGACCGCAGTGTGGGTCTTGCGGGGCTGTGTGCGGCGTCCTCGTTCTCGGTCGAGCCCCTGTCCGGTGATCGGCGCTTGATCCACACGACCAGCGTCGGGAGGAGCGTGCCTTCCCCCCCGTGACCCTCCCCCGCCGCCCGCTCCGGTCGTACGTCCAGCGGGCGGTGTCTCGGGCACTAACCTAGACAGGGCTTCCATGACGGTTCCTAACTTTTCCGTCATCATGCTCTCCATTTTTGCGGTGGGCTGGTCGATGGCGGTCTTGACCTCCTCGTGGGTCGGGACTGCATCGCCATTGCCGAACTCTCCAGACGCAGACGGCATGTGTCCACTTCACTAGGATAGTTTGGGGTTAACCTTCGCTCTAGAGTGTTGGCTGATTTCAAGCCTAGTGCTGCTGGATAAGCACGGTTGACCCGGCTCACAGGAATGAAGAGATGGTAACGTCGTTTTTGGTCGCCCTCGTAGACAAGCAACAGGAGAGAGTGGGCGGCACGTGCACCACAAAGTATCAAGCAACAGTCGCAAGAAATTCACCGACGTAATGACACATACATGTAGACTTCCCGCAACTCGGAACAATATCAACTACTGTACCAATGGCATGTCGGGAGATACCCCGAGGATCTACGCCTGTGGAACGGTCACTTGCACACTTTCTCGCTCTCAAACCACACAGGAGTACAACCGCAGTAGCGTATGGATGACATAATTCACCTCACGGACATTTCGTCCCCTCCCAAGGACCACAACAATAGTAAAATTAGATTATCAAAACCAGGGTGCCCTGCTTATCCTCTATACAAAATATAGGTGGGGTGGTACCATTTCATACAGCGGGACCCCCAAAATGATGCGTCGTCAGCACACCTGTCCGCAGAACAGAACACTGCAATTTTTAGTAGGAAGTACGTAGTGGATCTGCAATAACAACACGACGCACGTGTGGTGTAGAATTCCTCGTCCTGTGCAGCACCACACCCACCCCCTGTCCGAGGGGGGGTTGGACGTGTACATCGATGTAGGTTTGACAGCGATGGACATGGATGGTGTAACAAGCGCGGACGTATGTTACTCTCAACCTACACCACGTTGTGATCGTCATGTTGATGATGTTATTATTTCTTATTGAACTACTGCTGTAATAATAGTGTTTTTATCCCTGCTGCAATCGAGCATTGCTTTTGACATGAATCGCCTCCATTGACGCCGGCGACGGTGAGTGATCTATCACGCCCGGAATCTTGAAGGCACTTCCTTCCGCGCGTTAGAGACGTTTTCAAAATCATTGTCCATGTTGTGACTTGATGGCGGGGTCGCCCTAACGCCAGGTTCCCACAGAGGTATGAAAATGAAATATTTGCGTGATTTCCGGAGCGACTCATCGGCCGATCCGCTGCTCCTGCTGAATGAATGTGATACGCTCCAACAAGAATCGACCAATCTACACACATCTACCAATTTTTCCTAGCGTTGAGATTTGCCGTTGGATCATTTGTTTTGGAAGGAAGGCTGGAGGCTGGGTCATGTCGATACCTGCCCAACTGTCCACTCCACACTGACCCGTTAAGTTCTGCTTCTGATTGCGCATACACACGTGCTGCATATCCGCACACTCATTTCCTCTTTTCGTCACTTTCGGTGCGTCTTCACCTAATCGCCCGCCACTACGTGGTCTTTTGTCTTGTTCCACTAAGAGCAGTCTAAGAGCAGTTGCTCAGATTGACAGTCTCAAAAGACTGTAGTATGGAACCCTCATATGCGTGATCTTTTTCACGTTTAGTATATGGCACCCTTCTAGGTCTGGGTTAAGTCGCGATAGTTCAACTAATAGAGCCGACCAGCATTGCATTTGCAGTTTGTACTGGTCTGGTTCGTGTGGATGTATGCGTCGATGATGCGTTCCTAACTGGCGCAAAGTATGAATGCATTGTGACTATGTTTTGTTTTGTGTTGTCTTGTTTTATTGCGCATGTCAATTAAAACAGGTGCTCACAGCGATTGATTCCCGTAAGTCCCCCAATATACCATACCTGTGTGATACCAGATTGGGAGAAACAAATACACCCACAGAAAGACCACCCGTTCGAGATATACCCACATTCAAACGGGATGTGGTAGAATCATTTCAGTGAGTGGAGGAAAACCGGCTGGGAACTGGACTTATGTCGAGTCTATTTAAGTCTACACACTAATGATTTATACCAGTGATACCAGCTAGACTATATATATGTTTACCTCACTGGTGTGGGGTTGTGATGTTCTGTAGGGGTATGATATCTTGTGTGACACGTGTGATATAATGCACTCACAGGACTCCACCCAGCAGCGGGTGCGAAAACGAGGGCGTGTGATAACGATGGGGTGTTATGATGCAACCCGTGGGATGAAGTACAACCACCGACCCAGCCTTCAGGGGTGTGATAAAGAGGGGGGGGGGTCGCCGGTGGTGTAGCTTGCTTCTCGGTTGCGGGTGAGGTTATTGCGTAACTTTGTGGCGGGCGGTGTGGCTTGCTTTTCGGCCTCAGGTGGTGCCGTGCGGGTATCAGCTCAGCAGAATGGGCAATGCCAGGCACAGCAGGTCTACAGCAGGTCTTGTTGCGGCAGTGATAGCGGTAGGTCCTGCTCTGCGGTCCTCAGCAACACGGCGGTCACATGCACAGCGGGAGCTGCGGGAGTCTCAGGGGCCACAGAAAAATACTCCCGATTATATGGTACCGTAGTTGATGGGAGTGGCGACACCGCTAGAGTCCGACTCACGGCACCAGTGTTGTGTGCTTCGTTCATCTCCTCGGTGTTGTCGGTCGCCATAGCTCTAGCGCAGGCTTGAGTGCTTTTTGTGCGTAATCACGGCCTACCACACCCGTGTGATAAACTGTAGCGCTCCGTGAATATCTATTTGCGGCTCAAGTTAGGGGATTTGGTATCTTCTGTGACCGTGTGATCATCGGTTCTATTTTCCAGCGCTCCAAAACATGTCACACGGGTGTGATTTTCTGTACCATTTCGATAGGGGTGTGGTATCTTGTGTGACATACGGTATTTCTGTCGGATAGGAGCTCCAATCTGTGGCCACACAGAAGGGATCCTCTCCCTCTCCGTAAGGCCCGCTATGCATCCCGCCTATGGGGCTTATCTTTCTTCGAATTGTAACACGAGAATGTGACACTCTCGTCCCTCGCAGTTTGTACACGATCCACCGCTGTAGCTCTTTCCACAGCCAGGAAAGAACGGAAGCGAGAGAAATAATTGCTAGGAACTGCCGGCATTTGAACCCCTGACCTAGCCACTAGATGGTTCGAGGATGCCAAAAGTAGACTACCGGGGATGGGCTATGAGAAACGTAAGACAACAACGACGCAACGTGGTGTGTCGATGTGGTTATCTGGAGCGGACTTCCATCTCTCGATCTCAACCGAAAATATATCCTCTCGATGCCCAGCAGCTTCGAGCTGCATCCACCTTTTCGTCCCTACCCATCGATTATTTTTGGCTGAGGTAGGTTTCCCTTTCGGGGTGTCGTTTGTGTTTGTTGGTCATCAGGGGGATGCTGTTTCCGCAACAAAGACCTAGCGGTGCCGATCGATCAAAGCGATATCCGCCGCACTCAACTCGCAAATACTATGGCAACAGTGCTTTTCCTTTGGCATTTCAACCGTCGCAGGTGACACAGATGGTTGGGGCTCGGTGACACCAACGCCGCAAGCGACCACGAAGGCTTCGGAAGGAGCGAACACCGGACCCATCGTTGAACATGATGGACTTTCAACATTGGTGAGCACCTGTGCATGCAGCTCGCACGATGAGGGACATCTTTAGGCTCAGTGTGTACGGCAGAGACGAGGGAAGAGAAAAGGAGAGCCGTGTGGCCATCAGGACGCATATCCGACGCCTTTTTACCTTGCTTGGCGTTGGAAGAAACACATATTCACTGCACTACACTCGAGGTGCTGTGTCCACGGTGTGCCATCGTCTTGGGTAGTCAGCACTCTGTTGTGTGTGTGACTTGGTTTCCCGTTGACGGGTTGAGGCGCAAGTAGAAAGCTTTTCTCGGTATGGGAGCCTGCTCGAGAGTGTACTCTCAACCAGATGCGTCTTGTAGCGGGTGCCCTACATTGCTCGTCACTGTTACGGAGCTTTCGTGGAATGCCATGAAGGCCAACGAAGGTCCACAGAGAATCCATGGCGCTACGCGGAACCTTTCGAGGACATAAATGAATCCCCATGGAGTTCTACAATAAAACGCTTAGGGCCTTGCAATGCGTTGTTGGAACTCCATGGAGAGCCACAGGTTGTTCATGAACGAAATATTCCTTGGAGTTCCTTGGAGGTGGAATCGGTGAAAGGTTTCCGCAGCGAGTTCCATGGAAGTCGCAATTTCGGTGGGATTCCATCAATATCCTGTAGTATTCCATTGTCTACCGTCGCATTCGTCCAGTTTTCCGCCGAACCCGTGTAGATTTTCGCTGGAGTTCCACGCGTTTACCCAAACCAAGGCGCTTGCATTGAATGTTACGTGGCAATCGTCACGTTATATCCGATGCACATGTAGTCCGAGTAGAATATCCCATCGAGATCCATAGGGCGCTCATCGAGTTCCACGGAATTCCATAGTGTCACACCATGGGGCTCCATGGCACACCGTGGGCCTCCATTAGATTGCGTGGCATGTTCCGTGGAGTTCCATGAGCTCCGTGAGTTCCATGGCATTACGACGAAAGAAGTAACCGATTGGTCGCTGTTCGTTTTATGCGAATTGTTTTCCAAACACCGCAGCAGCACAGAGAAGGAAGATGTCACCGTGCAAATATCTTGTAATTGCTCAAATACCGCCACGATGTTGTCACCAGTGTACATGTATTGGGACAGGGGGGCTCAAACGTCTTGGGTCAGGTCGGTTTCATGGACGACGTTTTCTACGATGTGAATCTCGAAAAATGCACCTCTTCCTTTGCTTTATTTTCAACAAGGTTGTCGCCCACCATGTTTGCATGGTAACTGTTGTGAACAGAGTGTTTCATGAAATGTTGCCCAACCGGTGTGTTCAACCCTACCCCCAGGGAGAACATCCTGGGTACCGCAGACTGTCTACCTCGAGCGACAGCACAAGCGGTAAGCATGCACGATTGAGAACCGTATAACAGCGGAAGAATGTCAGTAGGTCCCCGCCTCAGTTAATTGACTATTGTCATGTTCTCTCGCAATCCGCTGCGACATTAACGTACACCCGTTTTGGTGCTTGCGAGGTTTGTGAATGCTCCGCGCTGCGCGACCACCAATGAACTCCTCGAAGCTCAGCAATCACCCGATTGCACATGACTGACACTACTAGGACTCGGTCCCCTCGAAGCGACAGCCACCCCACCTGATGGTAGTCTCGCTGGTTTGGTGTTGTTTGTTTGTTGGCAAAACAGTGT